TGTTTGAGTATTCTTCTGTTCGATAAAAAAAAAAAAAGTGTTATAAGTTCAATGTCTAAAACACTGTCCACTTAATAACTTATCCTTTCTCATCTCTTCGAAATAAACAAAATGTAAGTTTAAATGTATATAATAAAATAATCTGATTTTTCCTTATTATATCAATACTGATAAAACTCGTTTTTGTTTTAAAAATTGTGTTTTCTGACGTTTAAAACCTTGGAAATAAAGAAAATATAAATTATTTGTAGATATTATGATTGTTATTTAGACCTTCCATCGGTTTAACAAAATAGTAAGTAATGCAATGAATCGGAGTTATAGTTTTCGTCCATTTTATAATTTAAACTGTTAACTTGTACATTCCTAATGATTTAGACATGTTTAATCGCTATAGATGTTTGTGCCTTTCAAAAAAAATAATGGTAATTATAATAAATGTTTCAAAACCACAAGATTATTCCGGTAAAATTTTTGGTAAAGAAATAATATAATAATTCAAAATAGAAAACGAATATGATTGAAGTCCATGTTTATTACTTTGAATCATAATCTCTTGTTGCCCTTTACAACGATTGATCCTATAGTCTCAGAGCTCAGTACGGAACGATAACGCACACGTTGGATAGCTTTCTCCTTTTTGAAGTTACCAAATTTAAGATTTTGAAAATATGAATTTTGGATCAGGCCCGTATTACCTAAGAGGTTCGACACGGAAGGACCCCGCTATGGAACCGTTGATACCAGGTACCTTATTTTTAGTATTTAATCAACATCAAACAAATAAATAAATAAGAATACATTTAAAACAATAGTCGTTTTTATTTGTATATTGTATATCAATCAATAAAGTTAGTAATAGAATGTTAATTTATTGAAAAAAATATTTTAAAACAACTGCAGAAAAGAATAAATTGGAAATTAAAATGTGTAAATTCTATAGAAAATGTTACCCTTTTATATAATCGATATATATTATAATTTTTTTGTAAGATGTTTCTGATATATTCCCACTTACTTTAGTTCAGCAATTTTAATGAAAAAATAATGAATGATGTTTAGAAAAGATTATAGTAGAAAAAAGTTAAAATCTTTTATAAACAACATTTTTTATAGATAAAACTTCACTTCAACATTTTTTATAGATAAAATAACACCTAAAATAGTGCTTTTTTTCTAATCGATATAAAAGTTTTTGAAATAAATACCAAAATGAAAAAAATTTCAAATGTCAATTTATTTATTTAGTTATAAATGGGTGACATGTGCAATTACGTATGTAACAGGCACCATATCCGAACTTCATTATAATTCGGATAATTCACTGTAAAGATAAGAGGTAATTGATCAATCGTTGATTTTGAATTTTAGTATATAATTATGTATATATTTTAATATAAATAAATCACTATTGTAGTTTTTGTAATGTATTTAAGTACTATACAGGCAGAAACTTCCATCACATTAATTAATTCAACACGATCACTGGCGGTTCTTCGGAGGTTTTCGGGCTGAAGCTCCTCTCTCTTTCTCTCCCCGAAAAATAGAAAAAAATTGTTTTTCATAAGTCCATATTTTCAATACTGTGAGTAATCTGAATAATTAAACAATTACAATATGAGCACTATTTTTAAATTTTAACGAATAAACAGCTACTAAATGTAAATGCTCGTGTTGAGAAAAATATTAAAAACATTATCGCTTAAGCATTATTCTTCCTGAAATAACATTTTTCCTTATTATTATTTTTTTTTCAAAAAGCCTTAAGTAATTACAGTTACATTAAAAATGTATTCCCTCAAAATTAAATAATTTCCTCTATTGAACACAACTAATTTATGTATTTCCATTAATTATCAAATAATTTTTAATAATTAAACATTATTATCGCAGAGAGGTTTTACTTTAATTTATAATAATTGGATATAATATTTTAGTTTTTATTAAGACATTTTTTCTTCAGCACTAGTGGATCCAGGATTTAATTTTGAGAGGAAGGGCTTCAGTCCGAGAGCTTTTTTTAAAATACATATAATGATAATTACTTGACAAGAAGAAGAAAGACTAAATACCTATATGAAATGGTGTTCAAGTGATTTTTTATGTCCTGTTAAAAATGTGATTGCATGAACAATAATACTTTTAGAGATATTTTTTAAAATAAATTTTATAAGACAGTTAGTTATATTTAGCATATAATTTTAAAATAGAACAGTTGTGATGGTTTAAGTATTTAACTTAGATCACTTGCAGTAAGATATATGGGCAAATGAAAAAAAAAAAAAAATCAATTTAGGAGCTTCAGCTCGAAAGCTACTCCCTCCCTCGTAGATCCGCCAGTGTTATTCAGAATTTAAATAAATAAATCAGTTTTTGGAATAACTGAATATTTTAGTTTATTTTTTAAAGGATTTTTTTCTGAGCAGAACTAAATAGCACTGCTTTGATTCAATTAGCAATAAAATATTCCTTCAATCAATGATTCATTAAGGTTTTTTTTTTTAATTTTAGGTAGGGGCAACAGATTTTCAGCAAACATCACAATTAGGCATCAGCTAATAACTCAAACAAGGAAGATTACTACAAGAACAAATAGGAACTGTCGAAATTCGCCGTATCAAAGGTAGTCTGAAATACTACAACGAATAAAACTGTTATTAAAAAAAATACAATAACAATATTATCACATTCATGTTACTGATTGACACATCCTTATAAATAACATGTTTTCTGTTTCCACCCCTCCATTTTCTCATCCTATTTCTAGACATAACTCATATAGTTTGAACCCATTTTTTATACTGAATAGTCGTGATTATGGTCAATATGGATTTGTTATGTAGATGATTTAGAGTATTGAGAATTTCGAAAATTAAAATAACGTTCTATGAAAATTGTAACCGTTTTTTAAACTGTACGCCACACTTAAAGATAAAAACAAATCTTAATAATTTAATTCTTCTAATTATTATTCATTCCTCAGAAAGGAAAAAAAAAATCAGCTCTGAAAAAAAATATAGAATTAAATCTAACGTTATTAAACATTATGGGCTAAGAAATACTTTAACTTCAAAATCTGAGTTTACCACAATTGAAAACAAAATATAATACAATTAAAATGCTGTAAAAGTTATTAAGAGCCTTTTTTAGTATCATAGTAATTTTATGAAAGCTTAAAACCAACGCGTAATCTTTATGCATCTACTTGTTCCTATAGGCACAGACATTCCAGGGGGAGGGGAGAACTGGTAGTCTAAAATAAAAAAAATTACCGGGATTTTTTATTATGTGTAAAAATTCAACGTAATTATTGTGAAACGAACAAATATAATTTTGAATACTTAAAATTTATTTTTTCATATGTTTGTATGGTTGTAAGGATGTTTTTTTTTTTGTTTTTTTTTTAATTTTGCTTATTATCTATTATTAATAATTAAAGCTTTGCAATAATTTATTTTAGTCATTAAGTTGCCTTTTTGAAAATTTATAGTGTTATTGTATGTTCTGTTACATCTTTTAAATTTATATTTGTGATTAATGTATTGTAATATTATAAATAAAGATTTCGACTTGGAAATGGGAAAAATTGCCTGATACGTCGTCGAAAAAAATAAAAATGAATTGAAATGGTAAGGAGATGAAAGGATTTAATAATGTTATTTCATCGCAATTGTTGGTTTATTGAATTGAAAATTTATTGTAGTTTTGTTCAATAAAATGGGTACTTATAGGTGACAGGATCTCAAAACACCTCATTTTTTTACACAACAAAAAAAAACTTATTTCGTAATAAAGCAACAACTTAATTCATATGGACTTAAAGCTTACTAAATAAGTTTTTCTAAAAGTGGGGTGTCTATAATATAGTTGGAAGGTGATTAATAAAACCCGCCAATAATTCATAATTTTTTTTACATCACAACATTCCTTAGTTAGTTTATTAGCTCTAAAGTCCTCTTTAAATTTCTTAAACAATAACAAACTCGACTTTTGTTTGAAGCAAATTTTGTCTAGTTTACAGTGAAGCAATTGTTAATTATTTATATTAACCTATGTTTTAGTTATCGCTTCCTATTCAACAAAAAAGGTGACCCTTCAAAAACAAAACTTAAATTGCTAAATATTATACTGAAAATCGGACTATTGTTTATATGAAGTTATTGATCTAGAGGTCTACTATTACCCGTTTAAATATTTCCCTATACTAATGGGTAACCCTATACATTATATAAATCTCAATATAAATGAATATAATGACAATTATATAAATGACAATTTAAGTAAAAGTAATATGTAGGTGTCAATAAAATCATTACATACCTACTACGTGAGTCTAGCCTAACTAGTTAGTCGACTTTTCTAATTACGATTTTTCGATTTTAGTTTACACATTGAGCTTATTTATAATTGATTTTAATTTTTTTTTTCAAATAATTGGGGAGCGAAACGGCATTCTCGCCCCCTCAACATTTTTATTGGAGGGAGAGGGAGTGAGGAGGAACGATAGCTCCCTCCCTCCTCGTAGTCTGCGCCTATGCTTGTGCCTTGTTATCAATGCCTATCAACGTGACGTCACAAAGTTAAAGGTTATTAACTGCTTCGTTTGAATAATCTTATTATTATTGAGTGCTAATTAAAAAAAAAAAAATACATTCAGCGTCAGGCTTTCTCACACAGACTTAAATCCGTGGAACAAACTGACAGTAAAAAAACAAATCTAAATTTGGGAAGGAAACTTAATTTGGAGGAAAAGATTCTGAAATCTCATATTTCTCTCACCATTCCAAAACTAATATTTTGTGCACAGTTTTTTTCATTTTCGCTCTATTCTTCCGTCTCCTTTTTAATTTTTAATAAAATAATTACACATCACAACATGTATAACAATGCGTAGAGGTTACATTGTTGTATGGAGATTGAAAAAAATCATGTACATTTAAAAAAAAAACTAAAAACAAAAATAAAATAATTTAATTAAATACAATTTTTAAAATATTACAAACTTCTAATTCGCTTCGTAAATTCATTTTTAGATAAAAGACGTATGATCCGTACCTGATCATGTTAGCAGTAAAAATATTGAACAACGCTGGGTGTTATATCATACAATAAGTATTTAACTCTTCGAATTAAACTTAAGAAGAAATAATCCTAATTCTAGAATATAAATATTATTAAATAATTATAATACCTTTCAATATAAAACGGAATTTTTAGTAATTTTTGAAAAAATAAAGAAACTTAGAAACACGCAATTTTACTATTATGGTAACAGTGATGAACTCTTACTAGCTTCCCTTGCGTAATTATTCGAGTTAACAGTTGCCATTTTAGGAGATTTAAGTGTAGTGTTTTGTTGGTTAGGTCTTATTTATCAATCTCATTTCAAAATGGCCATCAAAGGGAACAATATGATACCATTTGCACATTTTCATAAAGACTGGCAAAGATTCATCAAGACCTGGTTTAAGCAAACCAGCAAGAAGAATAAAAGAAGAATCACAAGAACTCGAAAGGCTACAAGAAAGGCACCCAGACCTGTGAAACTCCTCAGACCAACAGTGAGGTGCCCTAGTGTTAAATATAATACAAGATTAAGACTGGGAAGAGGATTCACATTAGATGAAATTAGAAGAGCGGGATTGAATGCGAAGTTTGCCAAAACGATTGGCATTGCTGTTGACCACAGGAGGAGAAACAAATCTGTTGAGCCAATGTTAATTAATGTACAACGTTTGAAAGAGTATATGGCCAAGTTAATCCTTTTCCCTTTCAAAAGAAGCAAGAAACTGAAGAAAGGAGAGGCAGCAGAATCAGAAAGGAAGTTGGCCACTCAGTTGGTAGTTCCAATATCAATAAAAAATACAACTACAAAGTTGAAAGCTCGAGTGGTCACTGAAGTTGAAAAGAATTTCAACTGCTATGCTGCTCTTAGAATGGCTCGAGCAGATGTCAAGTTGATAGGAATGAAAATGAAGAAACTGAAAGAGGCATCAGAAATAGAAATGCCTGTTTCTGAGAAGAGCAAGAAGAAAAAGAGGAAGCACTGAAAGTTTGAAAAAAACTAAAGGTTGAAGTTGTGTTTGAATTGAGGTTAAATAGTTTTTCGAACAAATGTTGCTACAATGTATTTTTAAAGCTTTGATTATTTTAATACTTTATTTTGTTTGCACAGTTCTTCAGCTGCTATGTTTGTAATTTATCCTTTTATTACTTAAATAAATTAGACATTTATATATTTTTTTAAATCACAGTTATTTACTTTTTTTTTCAACCATTGATCATTTGTTATGTTTTGGGAATGTGTTGTTTTGAATACTTTCATTCTTGTAAATTGTAAGAAAATGAATTACTTGTTGATATTAACTTATTAGTGTAGCTTATGTATTAGATAATGCAATTAATAACATAAGTGCTACTGCTCGAGTAGTTGATACTATACATAAACAATACTATGCAATTTTTTTTTATTGGATATAAAAAAGAATATTAAACACTATTGTGGTAAGAAAGGTGTAATTATATGACAATTAATTAAATTTGATGATTAGGGGTATGTGGCACATTATGGTGGTCAAGAATTTTAATATTGGTCTGATGGTTAAAAAAAGAAATTATTTTTAAAAATTGTTGGCCTGTGAAATCTGTTATTTACAAAATTGTTTCCACTTATGAAATATAAAAGAGCGGAAACAGAACATCATTTTTGTAATATCAGGTCTTGACATTGTAGTGCCCCTCGGTTAAGAGGGTAGTGTGCTGGGGTGTTTGAGAGATTTCATATTCTTACCTTCTCCCTTCCCCCATGGATAAGAGGGAACCGTAAATTTGTCTGTGTCTATATTGGATGTCATTTACTTCTATAATTTTGTATGGTAACCCACTTACTCGCACTTGCTACATCCTGCCTAGTTTATAGTAATTAGTTAGATTTTTCAAGTAATGAAAAACCAAAATATTTTCTCTTGAAGGATTTAGACAAGAATGAAAACTGTTCATAATCTTAAACTTCAAATAAAATGTAAAGCATTTCTAAGATTTATTGTGACTAAAACCTAAAATTGTTAATAATTTCTACATTATTAATGCACTTAATTAGTTACATACAATGGTATTTAATTTAAGCATGGGTACAATGGATACAAAGAAATTTGTACATGCAGAATGTGTGTTTTTTAAAATTATTATTATGTGCATGTCAAAATAGAATTTATGAACGAAATGAAACAGAATAATTCTGTGTTTTCCTTATCAGATTTCAATATATTAAATTAAAAAATAGGTCTATTTTATTATCGATAAATTATTTCTTTGCTTAAATCAGAGTGAAGTCAATTATCAGTCTCACATTTAATTTTTATATATTTTTGTATAGATTTATAGCAGAATAATAATTTAGTTTCTATCTTGATTCATATAGCTACATTAAAAATTATCTAATTGGTTAGAGTTAATGCTACTGACAACTGTCTAAATCTCATTTATGTTTTTTCAAAAATGTCAAAAACTTGAAAAACAACTATTGTTTTTTTTCAGTGGAAATATTACTAATTATAATTATATTTAATCATTAATAGTTAAAATGTAATAAATACATGGAAATATATCATCTTTAAGCAATTTATCTGCCACAATTGATAAATTTAATTTTTTAAAACATATATAAAATTTAATGAACCAAGTCTATTGTTATGTTTTATAATATTTTTATATTACCAACCATTTTATCAATGGGTGCAATTAAATCTACTGCAGTTTTAAATTTCTGCAGAATGATAATTCAAACACTTTGAGTAATATTGATGGACAACATTTTTAATTCCCTCTTCTTTGAAGCTTGGAGTCCAAAAGGAAATGTTTGGAAAATGTTTACTTTGTCATTAACAATTTTATAAGTTTTATACGTTTTATAAGGTCTTCAAGATATGCAATCTGTCACTAATTGTTTGCTAAAGTTTTTGGGTAATAAAGTATCAATTATGACTATAATTATTAGGAAATTGGAGCAAAGTTTACATATTAAAATTTTAGTCCTATCCTTGTGATTATCATCAGAACATACAATCAATTAATAGATTCTAACCCCATGTTTTCATATTGTTTAATGCCACATCAAAAATTAATATTACATACTTCATGTAATACTACCAGATTTTTCAAGTAACAAATAATGATCATTCTTGAGTATCTTACGTTTATTCATTATATTAATCAATTGTAAAATTCTTTGTATTTGCAGGCAACCACCAAGATTTTCTACAGAACGATCAAGAGTGGACTGTCCTATTTGTCTCTGTGAAATTTTCCCAATATGCAGGATGAAAGCTATCCAGTGCTGTGGCTATGTATTTTGTGGAACTTGCATTAATAAATGTGTGAAGAAATTTAAAGCATGCCCGATGTGTAATCAAAAATTAACAAACAGTGCAGTTCTAAATTTACGTTTCTGTACTGAATAAATACATTAATTTGTACAATATTAAAAGATTGTATGTTATACAAAATTGTATATCTGATATTATATATAGTTTTTATTTATTAATTCTAACATTATTGTAAAATGTTTGACGTTAAAAAAAACAAAAAAAAAAATTAAATAATTTAAAAAAGGAAAATTTATGAATGAGGATGCGCTTTGAAAAAAATTAAATGCTAACTTATATACAAAGTTAACATGTTGGTTAAATTGTTTTAATTATCTATATGTTGTAAAAAGTGTCTTAAAAAGACCATGTTATTTGTTGAAAAGTGATTAATAAAAAGTTAGATATGAGAACATAATATGAAAATATGTTTTAAGTAAATATATGCCCTTTCAGTGGGCTCTGATTCTCTGTCCCCTTAAAAAAAACCCTAAAAAATTGAGCTGTTACCTATAAAATAAAGTACATTTGTAACTTTTAGGAGCTAAATTATTACTAGTTCATTAAAATAGATATTTAAATTGATTAGGGAAAAAAAGTCCGGTTTTGAGAATTCATAATGAGGATTTTGTCTAAATGGCTACAAGCTCCGAAGGATTACTACTTAGTAAGGATTTACTAAGGGAAATTAATAAGGATGTTACTATTTCTTGACCAGTGGTATGCCCATAAGTAATGAGGTGCGATTATCGGCCCATGGCTCATAAAATACATTTAAGAAAAACTTGCTCTTTTCTTATTTGTTTGGTATTGATGAACTTTGGTTTGTGAATATTTCACTCAGATTATAATTGTCTATTAGTGGAGGTGTGTATATATATATATATATATATATATATATATATATATATATATATATATATATATATATATATATATATATATATATAATATATATATATATATATATATATATATATATATATATATATATATATATATATATTGAATGTTGGATATGGTAAGTTATTATATATATTACCCAAAATGCTGAAGGGAGCTATCCTAAGAGCCAAGAAAAAGGATCCATACTTCTTTAATATATATTTAAATTGTAGTGTAGATTTTTTTTAAAATCCTTTTTTTATTTTTTTAAAATAAAATTAAACACAGCAATCTTAGATTTAAGTTGGCATGTGTATGTGTTCTTCATCAATATACTTATTCCTTTAAACAAAATAATCTATTTTTAAAGAGATAAATGAAATAACCAGAAGTCATATTATTTTATTGGAGCCTTACATTGGATACACTGTTCCCGAATATTAATATTTTAAAAAAACTTAATAAGTATTAAGTATGTAGGAAAAATTAATATACTTATCCTACCTTGTGAGTTTGGTTGATTTTAGGACTGCGATCGAAAGTTAAATTACCAACTGCTTATGTTTGGAAAACTGAGTCAATACCTGAAAAAAAAAAGTGAACAGGAAGGTCATGGACTTGAATATTAAGAAGCTACTAACAAAAGAGAGTTATTTATAACGATAGTGACAGTTACTCAGCTCCTATTTGTTGGTTTAATTAAAGGAAGAATAAATAAGGGAAGGAAGACAAAGAAGGATGAACAGTTAGTGTTTAGAGAACATTTTGACCCGCTACAAAACTCTAAACATAAGTTGTGGCTGTTGTGAAGAATGTTAATAATCGCTATTTTTGGGCCAGTGACGATATAGGTACCAGGTGTCAACAGAAGGAGGTTTCATAGCACAAGTTCGGTCATCAAAATTTTTAAGTATATTTGGACGTTGTCACGAATTTTCGAAATGAAAAAAAATCAAACTCAAACCAGAAGAACAAAAGGAAGCATGTAACAGACTGCAGTATGTGTAATTGAATATAATCTATGATTTTTTAAATGCTACTTTCGCTTCAACTACTTTTTAAGAAGAGGACAGTAAAAATATATCTTGGTAGTGGCGGGGTTCATGCGCCATCGACCATAGGGGAGATGGGCACCCCTGATAGGTATGGCTAATGCAAGAATGAAATAAAAAATTAAATTATATTCTCAATTAAAATATTTTTAGTTGGGAGTAAACATTCCTCCTATCAGTATTATTACATAGTATACTAGTTGAACAGTACGAATAATTTGCAAAATATATTGGTCTTTGAAAAAATGACAAAATAATAAGCAAATAAAATAATGCAAAGAACTATATTGGTAATTTTATTGTTTTGTAATGAATTTACTGACCTTTCAGATAATTATCGATTCAACCAACCATAAAATGTATAATGTGTGGTTGACTATAGTGAATAATTAAAGAGAAGGATGGTTGGTGTGATCAGTCAAAATAAAACAATAAAAATAAATAATTGTATTTTTTTTCACATTCGCCGACGTTTCGGTCCAAATTTAAGGCCTTCTTCAGGGCTGGTCTACCAACAAGCATAGAGAGACAGACGTATAGTAGCGAGATGAAGGGAAGGTTGCAAGATCTTCTGCTCCTTTTGCTGCAACCTCCCCTCTCTCTCTCTCGCTACAATACGCCTGTCTGTCTTCTCTTGTTAATAGAGCAGCCCTGATGAAGGCCTGAACTTCGGGCCGAAACGTCGGCAAATGTGAAAATAAATACAATTATCTATTTTTACTATTTTATTTTGACTGATAACACCAACCATCCTTTTCTTTAATTCATAAAATGTACACTTTTTGAGTTATTCGGAAATAAATTTTTTGCCTTGAATTTCGGGGAAATATGACTATTTTTCCCACTTAGAGGAAAAGGAAATCTTCAAAATGATAGCTCAATCGTTGGATTTGATGTAAAATTAACGAAAATATGGCGTCTCGACAAAAAACACCTCTGAATATAAACTAATT